GTTTTTCTTTCGTTACATATATGTATGTATATTCACTGAACATACCATGTACATTCCCAAAACATACACATGTATATTCCCTGAACACTCCATGTACATTCCCAGAACATTCAGTGTATTAACTCTGACAGATTCCTGGGACATCCATGGAATGTTCATAATGGAACTCCTGTATGTCCCAGGAATATGCATGTTCATCACATGAATGTTCCAGGTATATTCTGGGAATATCATTTTGCTAGGTGGGGTTTCAAGTGTCCCCAGAGGAAAAATCACGTGGTGTTAGGTCTGGCGATCGCCTGGATGCCAGGCAATTTATTTGGTTAATGATCTACCATCCATTGGCTAACTGGAAGTATATAATGAGAGGCAAATCCACGTTTAATAACAGATTTTCTTGAACGTCTAGTTTAGTTGGTGCTTAAATTTGGTCCCCCTACTTATGATGCAAACGTTTTTTGGTCCTCTTGGTCATTGCAGGTTTTCAAATTGTCACCCTGTATATAATTTCTGAAGAATTCAGACTGAATCTACCACCACCACACACTAAACTAAGTAAGCAATGAGAGAATGATCAGGTGAAAACGCGCCCAGTTCCACTAAACACGACCAGCACCGAAGAAGCCTCTGAAGTGGAAAAGTCTTACCCGTTGAATTTCCTCGTTCCGGCGCGCCCTTGCCATCAGCTCCACTTCGGAAAGATACGCTAAACTCTCAGACTTAATGATAGCGCCTTCCAACTCGGGACACAGCCGAGGAACCAGATGGTGTTTCTTCTTGCGCAAGAGCGATCTTACGTTCCAAATCCCCGAGTTGTTGCTATCGGCTGGCTTGTCCACCAAGTGCAACGATGAGGTAGTGTTTTGGAGGGAGTGGATGTTGGGAAGTGATGTCGGTTGAGGGATGCTGGACGTATCAACGAAAGGAAACGACTTAGAGCAATTGATGTTGGAGATTAAGCTCGAGCTGAAAATGGGCGTTTCTGGAATGGTTCTGGAATTGTCCAAGGGATCCGGTTCTCCCGTGATCTTGACTAGAGTGACTGACTTGCTCTTGGACTGAGCGGTTGGCTGCGAATACAACGAAATCACCGTGGTCGATTTGGCATTGTGAATATGGTATGACACCGGTTTCGAGGGTTCGTGGTTGCTTCCGTTGATGGATGAGGTGGTTGACCAGTTAGGGGTGGGTCCATGCGAGGGTGAACTATAGCCCGACGTGCTTTGCGACTCGGGGTAGCGCACTAAGACCCGAGCACCCTTACCCAAAGAGCTGGGAGAGCGATCCGGAGGCACCACCATCTCAGTGAGGGGAGAGCCGATCTCTCCCATCGAGCCGACAGCGCTCAGCGTTTTTTCGCTGCCGCTCGGGTCGCTGTTTTTGCGCCAGACTGCCAGCGGCCTGCTCATGGGGGGGTCCGAAGGCGTCTCCGCAGTCACTGGGCTCTCCAAATCCTGTCAAAGAAATCGTTAGAACCCTCAATATATTGTAGTTGAGTTCTATATTGTGGAGGCGGATTCATTTTTTACAAACTTCTTTTTGGGTATTTCGCCTCAAAAATTTTTGTCTGTAAAAAAGGACAGAATTTCCTCACGTCTTTTATTACAGATTGATAAATAGTGCTCCTATTTCGCAATAAGAACGAATTATTTATCAAAAAGTAA